GTGTTCCCTGTCTTTGTGATCTCCTGAATCCAGTGCCCAGTGCTGCTGCTGCATCGTCTCATTCCGGAGCTTATGTTTTTAATTTATGCTCCTTGATGTCTGTTTATAATCATTCTTTACACAGAGAGCGTTGGGTGTGTGTGGAATGCTCTGCTGGCAGTGGTAGTGGAGTCAGATACTTTAGAGACTTTTAAGCGACTCTTGGATAGGCACATGGAGGATAGTAAAATGTAGGTTATGCGGGGTAGATTGATCTTAGCAGGATAATAGGTCGGCACAACATTGTGCTGTACTGTTCGACGTTCTATGTTCTTATATTCTATTTATTTTGTCTTTTTGCAGTGAATGGTGCAAATTCTGTTCTGGGTGAGTATTTGTCTTTTAAAAGTTGGTAAGCTGTGTTGTTGAATTTCAATGAGAGTGACCCTTTGGATTGTAAGAGTGAGAATGTTAAGAAGGCTAACCCAAGTTTCTGTCTGCTTTTCTTTCAGGGGACCAGACAACAGCACTGGTCAATCAGTTGGCTCTTTTCAATCAGGTCCTTCGTGACTTGAGAGAAGATATTCGTGAGCAGGTAAGCAAGTCTCCTATCCAGGGGCTGAACTTCCTGGACAGTGGGCCATTTCCCTAAACAGCACATCAAAGGATATTCAAAACCAAAAAAAACTGTGGATGCTGGAAATCAGAAACGCAAAAAGAAATTGCTGGAAAAACTCAACAGGTCCGGCAGTATCTCTGTAGAGAAATCAAAGTTAACATTTCAGGTCCAGTGACCCTTGTTCAAAACTGATGGTAGCCAGGAAAAAGTTGGTATTTATGCAGATGATAGAGAGTAGGGAGGAGATGGAGATAGAACCCAAAAAGAGAGAAGAGCAGTTGGACAGACAAAGGAATGGATAATGATCAGCCTAAGAGAATGAATAGCTGCAAATGGGGACAGTTAGTGCCTAACAATGGGTTGTGTGTAATAGCAGACCATACGATAACAAGGCCTGGTGTGTGGGATTTGGGGTAAGGACATGGGAGAAGATGCTTCAAACCCTAAAAGTCTTGAACCCGATATTGAGTCCAGAAGGCGGTAGAGTTCCCAAATGGAAATTAAGATGCTGTCCTTTCGGTTTATGCTGAGCTGTGCTGGAGCACTGCAGCAAGCATAAGACAGAGATGTTGGCCGTGGAACAAGGTGGTGTGTTGAAGTGGGGGGTAACTGGAAGCTCAGGGTCATTTTTGCAGACAGAAAATAGGTGTTCTGCAAAGCAGTCACCCAGTCTACACTTTGTTTCCCCAACGTAGAGGAGATTGTATTGTGAGCAGCAAATGCAGTGGGCCAGATTGAGTGAAGAGCAGGAAGAGCACTGCTTCACCTGGCAAGTGTGTTCAGGCACTTGGATACTGAGGAGGGAGGAAGGATATTGTCTTACATTACACAGAAGGGATGACCCAACCAGGGGCTCTGTGCCGTGGACAGCAGGACCAGTGCCCTGGGCAAGGGGTAAGTGTCCTGGGACAGGAGATTGAGGGGTACTTATCCTGGGCAGGGGGCATCAATGTTCTGGTCAATGCATAAAGCAGAGAGGGGGTCAGTCTCCTGGTCATGGGCCACAGGGGGTATTGTCCTGAGCAGCGTTGGGGGTGTCAGTATATGAAGTGGAGAGGGGGTCATTGTCCTGGTCATGGGCCAGAGGGGGCATTGTCCTGAGCAGCGTTGGGGGTTGGGGGTGTCAGTATGTGAAGTGGAGAGGGGATCAGTGTCCAGACCAGGGGGTTAATGGTGTGAACATTAAGTCAGGGAGCTAGACAGCTGCAGCAGTCAGTGTCCAGCAAAGGGGAGGTCAGGATCCAGTACTTTTGTCTGTCATCTAGTTTCCTGCTTTCGCAAACAGGTGAAGGAGATGTCCCTGATACGGAACACCATCCTGGAATGTCAAGTGTGTGGTGAGTGTGAGAAAACTCTTAGAGCAAATCTTCATATGCCTTCCTCTGGCCAAGCACTGGCCATGAATCCTTGGATTCAGTTTTGGAAAAATCTAGGGCCAATAAATAGATTTAGTCACTAAAACATGGCTCCAAAACAGAATCAGTCCAATGGGAGTAAATTGGGAGCAGCTTTGATCCACTAGAACTGGTTGCAATCAGAGTTGGGGGTAATGTCCATTTGATTTATGTATAATAGCAATTAACAGGGAAAGGTTTATCTGACTGGGATTCTGTCCAATAGGAATGAAAGGGAAAGTGTTTGATACATTGGGATTATGTCCAATGGGAGAGAAAAGGAAGGATTTGATCCACTGGGATTCTGTCCAGTTGGAATGAAAGGGAAGGAACTAGATCCATTGAGATTCCATTCGATAGGATTGAAGTGGGAGGGGTTTAATCCAATGTGATGATGTACAACAGCAGTGAAAGGGAAGGAGCTTGATCCATTGGCATTCTCTCCAATGGGAATATATTGGCAAGTGGATGGTACATTTTTCATTAAAGTCTTTTCCATTCCTTACAAAGGGTTTCATGACCATCGGTCCAAGTGTGATCCCAACCCCTGTTTTGAAACTGTGGAATGTATGGAAACCTACGAATATCCCGGTTTCCGCTGTGGACCCTGTCCGGAAGGTTTTACAGGAAACGGCACACACTGCACCGATATTGATGAGGTCTGAAATTAATTTTAAATCATCATCTCTTCATTGTATGGAGATGCAGAGTGAGTCACAGCCTGGAATTTAATTGCTGATTTGAGGGATAGACTGCAATCTAATTAATGGATTGAATGTGGTTTCAATACAGAGTAAAGATATGGTATAGGTGCAGAAGTCCAGTAGTTGTTCTTTTATGGAATAAGTTTTGCCCGTCACTAGTTGCCCTTGAGAAGGTGGAGGTGAGCCACCTTCTTGAACTACTGCAGCTCATCTGGTGGAGTTACCTTGCACAGTGCTGTTAGGAAATGAGTTCCAGCATTCTCCTTTGGCCACAGAGAAGCTGTTATAGATTGTGTGCACCTTGGGCATCAACTTACATGTGGCTTACATCATCAAATTCTCCACTATCAACCAGGGATTACCATTGACCAGAAACTGACTGGACCAGATACCAACCATATAAACACAATGGCTAAAGTGCAGTCAGAGGCTGGAAATCCTGCAGCAAATACGCACAAGCTGACTTCTCAAAGCCTGCCCACTATCTACAAGGCAAAAGTCAGGAGGGTGATGGAATACTCCCCACTTGCCTGGATGAGTGCAGCTCCAATAACAGTCTAGAAGCTCAACTTCATTCAGGATAAAGAAGCCTGCTTGATTGGCACCACATCCACTACCTTCAACATCCAGTCCCTCCAGTCACATGCACTGTGTCTGCAGTGTGTACCATCTACAAGATACACTGATCAAGTCTTTCAATAGCAGTTCCCAGTCACCCTGAAGGACAAGTGGGAGGAGGTGCTTCAGCACACCATCATTTGCAAGTTATGCTCCAAGACCCACACCGTTCTGACTTGCATTCGATTGCCATTCCTTTAGCATCACTGTGTCAAAATTCTGGAACCTCTTTCTCCAGGTGACATCACTGTACCTATACCAAGTGGAGTGCAGCAGTTCAAGAGGTATCACCTCGCTATCTTCTCAATGATGGACTCAGGTAGACAGGGTGGTGAAGAAGGCATTTAGCACCCTGGCCTTCATCAGTCAAGGCATTGAGTATAGGAATTGGGGCGTTATGTTACAGTCGTATAAGTTATTGGTGAGGCCTCACTTGGAGTATTGTGTACAGTTTTGGTCACCCAGTTATAGGAAAGACATTGTTAAACTGGAAAGTGTGCAAAGAAGATTTACGAGGATGTTGCCAGGACTAGTAGGCCTGAGTTATAGGGAGAGGTTGGCCAGGATAGGACTTTATTCGTTGGAATGTAGGAGAATGAGGGGTGACCTTATTGAGGTGTATAATATCATAAGAGGCATAGATAGGATGAATGCATATAGTCTCTTTTTCCCCAGAGATGGGGAATTGAAAACTATAGGGCAAAGGTTTAAGGTGAAAGGGGAAAGATTTAAGAAGGACCTGAGGGGCAACTTCAACTGAGTGGTACATATATGGAACGGGCTGCCAGAGAAAGTGGTTCATGCATGTACAATAGCAACATTTAAAAAACCATTTGGATCGGTACATGGATGGGAAGGATTTAGAGGGATATGGACCAAATGAGGGGAATTGGAACTAGCTGAGTGGGCACCATGGTCAGTATGGACTAGTTTGGGCCGAAGGGTTTGTTTCCATGCTGTATTACTCCATGACTCTATGACAATAAATGCTGCTTTTCCTAAATCCATATCTTGTGAATTAAAGTCTGGAGTGCGTTTCAGGCTGGGATCTACTTTAGGAAGTCTCAGAAGGCAGGAGGAGGGTTGGGGGTGTTGAGGGATATTATACGGGTACGTAGATTGTGTTGTGATGAATGTGCTGTATAACATTTGCTTATGTGTCAGAAAGCAGCTTGAACTTGTATTAATTCTGATGTTAGCGACAGGAGCTGCAGAAGTGATGTTTGATGCAGAATGAAGTAGCATTGACTTTTAAAGTGGAGAGTGAAGGTGGATGGCTTCCTTTTGAGTGTCAGCATTGATATTCTGACTGCATTCATTATTTTCTTCAGTGCTTCTTTGCCAATCCCTGTTTCTCTGAATCCAAATGCATAAACGCAGTGCCAGGATTCCGCTGTGAGTCCTGTCCCTCGGGATATCAAGGAACGATTGTAGCTGGTGTAGGAGTGCAATATGCAATGACCGTGAAGCAGGTGAGTAACAAATAGAGAATGTCTGGAGACAACAAACATCACAAGATAGACAGAGAAATATTATTTTACAGTGACAGTCAAGTGCAGTCCTGTGCCGTGCGGTTAGTAACTGGTTTCTTCTCATTGTTTCTAAAGCAAGGTGTGCTCAGTGATTTGTATTGTCACCCTGCATTTTAATTTTGAGGTGCTGCTGTTCATCCAGAGGTAATTAAAGATTATTTCTTACCTTTGTCTGTTGCCTATCCAACTAGGAAGAATGTGATCCAATATGTTTCTGAATAATCTTGTTACATTTCCAAAGGTGGTGGTCATTTCAGGTGGGTGTTTTCATGTGGTACAGCTTGGTTGATAGTTAGAGAGGCCAGTCCTTCAAAGGCAGGTTCTACCTCAGGAGGCAGGCATGACACTATCAAACATCGTGGCTTATTGTCTTTAGTTAATGCCTGTTACCAAGCCATTTGCAATTGTGATGATGCATTGTGGCCCATTTTCCATGTTCCCAGCTAGTGACTCCCAACTGTGATATTCAATGTCCATAACGTCCAGGACACTTTTGCAAACATCCTTGAAGCCAAGCTTTCAACTTCTGCTGGCCAACTGCTTCACCACACAGGCAGTCTTTGGAAATGAGACTGTGTATTTTGTCCCGTGAATGTCCCTGAGCCACTGACACTGCCTGTTTGAGTACTGACAATCTTGGGAGCTCTGCTGTGTTCCTGATTTTGTCCTGTCAGGATGTGCCCACAATGGTGGCAGACAGATATGATGGAAGTAGTTGAGCTCCTTTTGATAGCTATAAGTCATCCACTGTTCCCAGCCACCCATCAAATTGCTGAGGAAACAGGTCTGAGAAAACAGCATCAGCTGATCTTGATGTTCTTCCATATGTATTTTGTCAGTTCGCCAAAGTTGCTTTCTCATCCCAAGTGTCAAGAGACAAGTTTACCATGGGCCCTAGGCAGAAGAGTGAGTTATCCACTTCCAGAGGGATTTTATTTCAGGACAAGTGACCTCAAGGTGGGAGAACTTTCAGAGAAAGTTCATGAAAAAAATTGTACTCCCATTAAAAATGGATAGAAAGAAAGAGTGATCGAAAAGTGGTGGACTGAAATTCAGATTAATCAGTTAAAAAGAAAGACCATAAGATAGATGAGCAGAATTAGGCCATTCAGCCCATCGGGTCTGCTCCACCATTCAATGGGATCATGAGCTGATAACTCTCAACTCCACTTTCATGCCTTTTTCCTCATAACCTTTGATTTCCTTCCTGATTAAGAATCTGTCAGTCAACCTTGAATATACTTAAGGACCCAGGTTCAACAGGCGTCTCCTGCTAAATGAGGGGTTGATTTAGCTCAGTTGGCTGGACAGTTGACTTGCGAAGCAGTGTGATGCTGACAACATGGGTTCAATTTCAACACTGGCTGAAGTTACCATGAAGAACTCCCCTCCTCAACCCCTCCCTTTGCTTGAGGTATGTTGGCCCTCAGGTTAAATCAGCACTAGTTGTCACTCTCTAATGAAATTGTAGTCCTATGATCTGGTAAGACTACGGTGACTTGACAAGCAACAACCTAGCTGTTAAATATTGCATATACAGACTCTGTGTCATCCTTACCACTAGCATTCCCACCTATTTTTGTCTCATCCATAAACTTGGCAATAGTTCATCATGTCCCTCACCCACGTCATTAATATACATTGTAAATAATTGCTCATTTTGTCCAGATTACTCACTGCATAATTGGTATTACTGTGTCTCATCTTGATTCGAAACGGTCCAGTGAACCTTACCTTCAATGGTTCCATGAGCACGGGCAACAAGACTAACACCTTGTCTCCTACAACAATATTTCAAATTCTGGTATTTTTGGCTGCTCTAGATTTCATTATTTGTTGAATTTCTTTCAAATGTTTTTGCCAACTCAAAAGCATTGGTTAGCTTCTCTGGGAAATGTAAGACTTAGATGGGAATTGCAGTTTCTGAGCTTTGTTTTATTCAATTCACTTAAGCACTCCTCTTACCTCAGGTACATATATTAGTACAATGCACCTTGAGACTGTGGGTGATAAGCAGAAAATGTGAATTATTTAATTCCCAAATGAGTTACTGTTTCTTTAAATATCTGTATTTTAAAAATGGTCTTTGATCTGATTGTATTTCTTTAAATAATCCACATCTACTAAAAAATGAACTTTGGTTTTAATGAGGTTGTGTCTCACTAAAACATAAGCAAACAATGTTGCAGATTTTGCTTTAACAATAAGACAGAAGTTTATTAACTACAGAAATGAAGATAAAAATAGAATAAACCAAACTATTTATGACAAATTCAAATATTAATAAACACACAGTAAAAGTATAACCTCATTAATCTCAAAACACTCCTTTACCAATTGAAAAGAAAAACTATAGGTTTTATATAATACCCAAAAACACCATGTTTAGTATCTAAAAATATCACTCTTACATTCCTCACAATAGAATCCCTGTCACTAACACCTTGGTTGATAGATTTAAGTCGCCTGAGACTTTAATGTATTGACTGGAAGTACAGATAACTTCTTCATGGAGTTATTATAACATGAACTTAAAAATATTCCACTTTAAGTAATGCCTCCAGGGTTTATCCTAACACTTCTGGTCTGGGACTAACACTAACTCTTCACTCTAAGGCAACTTTGTTCACTATATCCTTCCCTTCTCAAGAGCATTGCTTTATATAACCATCTTCATCCAAGAACTTCACAGGATTACATCACAGTAACATTTTAAAAGTTTCTCTGTCTAGCTACAGATGTTCCTCTTATTTTAAAAAACAAGTTCCTGAAATCTCTGGAAAACATTGAGGCCTGATTTTTTCTCTTAACTGGGTTGGAAAGCAATGTAACGTAAACAAAGATCCATGAGCAATGCAGGAGAACATATTAATTTGAAAGTTGGGCTACAGAAACACTTAAAAATTCATTCTTCATTTCTTGGAGTTTGCCTTGGAAAAATAAAAGCCTGCTTAAGTCTAGCCACAGAATTTAAACTGTAGATTTCAGTTTAACACAAGCTGCAAACTAAATTATACTCAAGTTTGTATAAAGTAATGATTTAGACTTTGTTACACAGCGAATGCATGCACTGACTTTCAAATTGAACTGAGTTTGCCATTTGGTGTTTAAGCGTGAGTTTGGACAAATTAAAGATGACATCTTTTCTCACTTGCGGGACATGTCAGAGATTTTGGTTTCAAAGATATCAAGGATACAACAAAAAGGCATGACAAAGGTTTAATGATGAACAATTGGTTACATATAGATGCTTGGAATTCCCAGTCCCATCCCGAGGAGCTGGATTCTCCACAGCAGCCTGCAGATCCTGCTATGATTATTACTGTAGGAATTCTCTCCTGTTAAAGACCCACATCTTTCAAACTGTCTGAACTGGGAGAATTGCAGCTTAATTTGCGTTGTTTCCTGCTGCCCACTTGGGGCCAGGACACAGGTGGTTTTGTGTTCATGATCCCTTTAGGCTTTATGAAAACCCAGTGAAGCAGAACAGAAGCAGTTGTCCTTACCCTGTTAGCTCAGTATGTCGGCCTCTAAATGATTTTGAAATAGTACTTCTACATAGAGGACTCGGTCTGTTTTGTCGGAAGCTCTGGCTGTGATAGATGCTGTTCTGTTTTTTTTTCAGGTTTGCTCAGACATCGATGAGTGTAATGATGGGAATAATGGCGGCTGCATAATAAACTCTCTCTGCACAAACACAGTGGTGAGTGATAGGAATCCTGGGGCTGCTACCCTCCTGTTGCTGCGGAGGGTACCCAGCGGCTCAGTGCACAGTCTCACTGTCACTCGCTCATTCCCCTGGTTCAGCACCTGCATTCTGCAGTTCAATGTTAGACGGAGAAGGTTGAAGAACTGATGACTGCTGTTGGGTAACATTCACTGGAAAGTGATTCCAAATCAACTCCCATTCCTCAGACCAATTGAAATGCCCTTGCTGAATGAATTCCCTCTTGTCTGTGAACGTTGGAAAGAATCATATTCAGTAGCAAAGCTGTTTCCTGTTGTGGGGAAATCCAGGACAAAGGGGCCCTAGTTAAAATTACCCTTTAGGACACAAATGAGACGAGATGGTTCTTCAACTTTGGGACTTTCTGCCTCCAAGGGCAGTGATGGTGGGGGTGGTTGAATATTTTTAAGGCAGAGGTGGATAGATTCTAGTTAGACAGACCTGGGGAGGCAATGGTCTAATGGTATTATTGCTGGATTGTTAATCCAGAGACCCAGATAATGTTCTGGGAACCTGGGTTTAAATCCCGCCATGGCAGATGGTGGAATTTGAATTCAATAAAAATATCTGGAATTAAGAATCTAATGATGACCAGGAACCCATTGTCGATTGTCGGAAAATCCCATCTGGTTCACTAATGTCCTTTAGGGAAGGAAGCTGCCACCCTTACCTCGTCTGGCCTAAATGTGACTCCAGACCCACAGCAGTGTGGTTGACTCTGAACTGCCGTCTGGGCAATAAATGCTGCCTAACCTCATCCCATGAATGAATTTTTAAAAAATCAAAGTGTATTGGGGAAAGATGAGAATATGGAATTCGGAACATAAGCAAATCTCCTCAGCTCTGCATGATACTAAACTCCTGAAGCAACTGCTCTGTTTGGAACTTGGTTGCAACAGGAGACTCCAGGAAGACAACAGAAACACTTCAGAATGACATCAAATTAACGTCAAATGAGTTTTAAAAAAAAATCCCACTGGCTCACAAGACACCCTGGTTTGTGACTGATCAAAAGAACAGAACTAATGGAATCAGAAGGAAAGCATGTCATCCACAATCCCGAGGAACTGGCTAAGAAGGAGATAACACAGCGTGGAGCTGGAGGAACACAGCAGGCCAGGCAGCATCAGAGGAGCAGGAAAGTTGACATCTCGGGTCGGGACCCTTCTTCAAACTCCAGCATCTGCAGTTTTTACTATCTCTGGCTGAGAAGGAAATGTGTTTCTTACACAACATACCCTACTCTGTACCAAACCTTGCTCACCCTCACACTTCTGCTTGTTATATGGATAGGCTGGGACTTTTATCACTGGAGCGTTGAGGGGTGACTTTATAGAGGTTTATAAAACATGAGGGACATAGATAAGGTGAACAGCAAAGGTCTTTCCCCTATAGTGTGGGAGTTCAAAACTAGAAGCCATGATTTTAAGATGAGAGATGTAAGATTTAAAGGGATCTGGGAGACAACTTTTTTACACAGAGGGTGGTTTGCATGTTGAATGAACTGCCTGAAGAATTGGTAAATACAAGTACAGTTACAACATTTAAACCGTGGACAAGTAAATGAATCAGAAAGGTTTAGAGGGATATGGGCCAAATGCAGACAAACAGGACTAGTTTGGATTTGGAAACCTGGTCATCATGGATGAATTAACCAAAGGGTCTGTTTCCATGCTGTATGACTCTGTGACTCTTGAGTGGCAGAAGGCACAAGCAGGGGCTAAATGGTCAATGTCTGTTCCTAATTCATATATCTGTTTGTCAACAGCATACAGACAGATCTCACACATGAGTGTCTGTGGAGCTACAATCCAGTGGGGTCACTGGCTTTAATCAAAAACTTTTGTTAGAAATTGACTGCCAACTGCTGGGCATTCAGAGAGCCCCTTATATTGACATTAAATCCTCTAGGCGACCTTATCTTTCCTCAAAACTCAAGGGAATACAGTCTCAGTTTGCCCAAACTGTTTCTTCATTGGTCAGTTCCCCTATCCCAAGAACAAATCTGGTGAAGCTTCATTGCATTCCCTCTAAAGCAATAATATCCTTGCTGAGACAAGGAGACCAGAACTGCACACGGACTTCAGTTGCGGTCGAACCAAACTCTGAGACAATTGAAGTAAGACCTAACTACTGTACTCAAATCATCTTGCAATAGCCTTTAGCCTTCCTAATAGCTTGCTGTACCTGCACGTTATCTCTTAATGACTTATCAACAAGGACACCTAGGTCCCTTCTTTAGCTACACTTTCCAACCCCTTACCATTTAAGAAATGCTCTGCACATCTGTACCTCCTACCAAAACAGGTACCTCGTATTTTTCCATCATTGTTCCATCTGCCATCTTTGTGCCCAGTCAGGAACATGTCCAAATCCTCCTGAAGCTCCTGTTCATCTTCCTGCTTAGCTTGGTATCATCTGAAAATCGGGAAATATTACATTTGTTCCCACCTCCAAATTATTGATAAATATTGTGAATAGCTGGGGCCCAAGCGCTGATCCTTGTTGTACCCCACTAGTCACAACCTGCTAACACAAGAATGATAACATTTATTCCTGTTTCCTGTTAGCTAGCCAATCATTAATCTATGCTAGTCCATTACTTCCTGTTCTGTGTGCTTTTAAAACTTTCTAAACAGCCTCCTGTGGGAGACTTTAGCAAAAGCCTTCTACATCCATTGGTTCTGCTTCAGCAGTTTTGTTTTTGGCATCTTCAAAAATGTCATGTTCTTCAAATATGATTCTCTTTCACAAATCAATGCCGACTATGTCAAAACAGATCATTTTATCCAAATGTCTATTTATTCCCATCCTTTATAATAGATTCTAGCAGTTGCCCTATTACTCATGTAAGGCTAACAGGTCTGCAGTTCCCTGTTTCCTTTCTTACTCCCTTCTTAAATAGCGTGGTGACATTTGCCAGCTTCCAATCCAAAGGAACCATTTCTGGAATCTATACAAATAATCATCAATGCATCAACTATCTGTATAACCACTTCCTTCAATACTCTCGGATGTAATCCATCAGATCAAGTTTCAGTCCCATTGATTTCTTCAGTACAATCTTCTTACTAATTTCATCAATTATCCTAATTCCTGGGGTAGAGGGGTCTTGTCTTCTGAGGACAGTTTGGGCCAATATCCCTTGGAGTTTCAGAGAATGGGTGGTGATTGTCAAGTCGCCTCAGGATCTTCTGTGTTTCAGTGTGGATGTTTCCCCTTGTACAAGAGACTAGAACTAGGGGACACAATTTAAGACAGAGGTGAGGAGAAAAATATTCTCTTGTGGATTGTATGTCTGTGGAGTTCTCTTCTCCAGAGTGTAGTTAGTGGAGGTGACTTCATTGAATATTGTTAAGTGAGATCCTTCATTGATAAGATAAGCAAAGGAGTAGGGGATAAGGCCACCATCAGATCAGGCTTCTTCGGCTGAGGAGCCTCCTCAACTCCTCAATCATTTGTTTGAATTTATTCCCATGTGTAACAGTATTGGCATTAAGTCCTTAAGGGGATCGATAACATTTTGAGATCCCGTTTTAACTTATTAAATATGGGAAAGGATCCTGAGCATTTCAAGATCACCCCCATTTCAGACCATTAACATGAGCTCCAAAATGAAATCCTGGATTTCAAGCAGACTCCTCCTTTGCCACCCCATCAGCTGTGTCTTGGTGATAGGTGATGAGTATTCAGGGAGCCCTTTGCGTATCTGCAGTTGAATTAACTGTTTCTTGTGCAGGGTTCATTTAAATGTGGTCCATGCCAGAGAGGGTTTGTGGGAAACCAGACGGTTGGCTGTGTTCATCAGAAGTCGTGCAACAGCGCCACTGTCAATCCATGTGACGTCAATGCACAATGTTCGATCGAGCGGAATGGACAGGTGTCCTGCCACGTGAGTATTGGTGTTCCAGCACAGCCTCCTGCTTTACACACAGGCAGCCACTATTTTTGTCAGGAAGGGTGAACAATCGCAAGGTTCTTAATAATGTTCTTTGGTTCATCAGCAACATCGACAAAGATGAATTGAGTCTGAAATGTTAAATGGTTATTTCCTCACAGTCAATCATGTGGCCTCATTTTCCAGTCCTCACTGACAGTCTCACCCTCTGACAGTCTAACTGTGAGTCAGCGTTATCTCCCTCACCCTCTGACAGTCTCACTGTGAGTCAGTGTTATCTCCATCAGCCTCTGACAGTCTCACTGTGAGTCAGTGTTATCTCCCTCACCCTCTGACAGTCTCACTGTGAGTCAGTGTTGTCTCCCTCACCCTCTGACAGTCTCGCTGTGAGTCAGTGTTATCTCC